ATATCTATCGGAGCGCTGTCCTTCGATCACTTTTATTGTCCAGTAAGCCGCTCCTAGCCTTTGGCGCACATGTCTAAGTACGATGGTCTACGCATTGGAATATATCATGACGCGTGAAGAATGAAGGTTCTGACATAGTAGAGAGTACCTGGTATCCAGTCGCTCACGGAAGATAGCTTCGTCGAGGTCTTCTACTTTACTATTTTTTTCGATGATGTCATACGCTGAATGGACTCATGTCGTGTTGCCACAACATAATTCGCCGAACCTTGGGTTGAACTGTGATAGTAGCTGATACAGTATATAGTCGTAAACATAAAGAGTCTCTACGTGTATGCGCGATTTTATAAAAATCTCGATATATAAGTCTTCTCGTCGTAGGCTGCGTAAACTGTCCTTGTCTTGAACCCTCTAGCGTAACAAATTTTAAGATGGAAAATTTATTTCGCAATTATCTATGAGATGGATATGTAAGCCTTTAGCCTGACGAACACAATTGATGTAGTAATTTCCGAAATAGATTTCCTCACATGGACGGTTGATATCTGCCTTCGAATCGGTACAGTTATTAGTTTATTAACCCATACAATATTGAAGCATCCACCCAAGATTCTTAGCACTTGCACAGACCAATCCCTTTTCACACATGGCAAAAGCAGGACATAACGATCTGGGGAACTTCTTCTCATGCCATGTAAGCTTCAGAGTACCTAACATTGAAGTAACCAGACTTAGATCACCCTTAGATAACCAATCCCTATACTCAAACAGTACCATTGTCAAAACTACTTTACTATACAACTTTGCCCATGAAGTCATCTATCTCAATATTGGATCCACACAGTATGACGCCCACTTTCTTGCCGGCTAATTCCTCCTTCAACGGGCCAATGAGTGCAGCTGTGGTTGCTGCAGCGGCCGGTTCGACGGCACACTTCAGCCCACGGAATATGAGTCGCATCGCGTCCACAAGCTGTGCATAGGGTAGTGGTATGTGAAAAATGCGAGTTTGAGATGCAAATTGCGTATACAATAAACAACCTGTGGATGGAGTTGTGATATGAGAAATATGTGAGACTGAGATGTAAGTTGTATGTATAATTGCCAAAAAGCTGTGGATGGGGTTGTGATATGTAAAACACGCGAGTTTGCGATGTAAGTTGTATAAATGATTGCTGTATATTGCCGTATAGGGTCCTAGACTTACGAGTTGTTTCAGTGTTTTCTTATGGACCTGTAACTACATTTACAACAGGTGTCACTAAAGCAGTCAAACACATTATACGCTCATAGACTGATAGACATCAATAGCTTTGGCAATTGCAAATACACATATACCCCTTTGAAATATATTTAAAATGACAAGTGATTGAACGTGTGCACACAAGCAGAAGGACAAAAACAAAGACAACAATATCAGAGCACCTATATTTCAGGAGACGCACTTCGCCAACCAACAGACAAAATGATACGGCACGAAAAAAGAATCTCAGGTCTCACACTTTTTCATAAATAATATCTATCTCAAGCCCCACACTCTTAACTAACCGATATAATAATCTAACACCCAACACCAAAATAGTCTAATCGTCTTTACAGCGAGTCTCTGGTCTCACTCTTTTCATAAATGATATATATCCCAAATCTTACACTCTTAACTAATCGATATAATAATCGAACACCCAACACCAAAATAGTCTAATCGTCTTTACAATGATTTCCCAAAACTCACACTAACTAATTAAAATAATAATTTATCACCCAAGACTAACAAGGACTTTGTGTCTCAAGTCTCATTCGCATGCCAATCAGTACAGGAATCGAACAATCACCGCAAATGTAAACGTAGTTTTATACGACCCGAACTGGGCCTTACCGCGTCAAACATTCTTCCCGTCATATAAAAGATATCCAAATTAGGCAAACACTCATTCGTTGGAGAAAAGCCCCAGATCTTCATTCCAGTCTAATTTTAAGTAATTCGGTAAACATAAACTTACATACAGAAAATGCGAACGAAAGTAGATACCTGTTCATCCGAGACGAGGACCACTTTGTCCAAAAAAGCCCGATTAACCGAGTATGAGAACGGGGTCGCCATCGGGGGAGCTAACGAATCAGCAATAGTCGATATACTCTCGGCAAAGACAGCTTCCTCCTGCTTATGAATGTGAAGAAAAATCATTCAAAGATTAGGTTAGGAATACAGGATTACCAATACTGTACTACGCATTGAATGCTAGCGCAGTTCATTTCAAGCTAGAGCGCGCCGATATTATACAAGGGGAGAACGTTGAAATTCATACGTCGATTCCCATACCAACGAGTTCTTCGGCCAACGTTGTTGTATACCACACAAACACACACACACACA